TAACTTGCTGATGTCATTCTTATTATTTAATTCATCCTATCAATAGATAGGAGTATAGTAATTTATTCGTAGTACTTAAGTTGTACAATTGCAATATGTTTGTCCTAAACTGGATTATTTCAATTTGATAAATTCACATAAAAGAAAACAATGTTTCGTTGCGATTTCATTTATATATCATCTCTTACCACGAGAGAATTACTTAGTTAATCAATAATTTCTTATTGTTGTTGTCATTCTTAAATGTAACCTTTTGTTAGGTTATATTTGACGTTAAATGTCAGTGGACGGAACACGATAATTGTCAGTATCGTTGCATTAAATGACATTCAATCTGGTTCCGATTGCTGGATAATGGAAATTTCACATTAAGCGATTTGGCGTTTGTCGTTCTGATCTAGAGACGATTTATCTCTCTCTTAACTTTGCAGGTCTTACGGTCGACTAAATATTGGTCAGGGTATAAATAAAATATTTTACGTTTGAGCCTTTCCTAATAATGTCATAAATAAAAATTATGAAGAACAGAGGCATAAGTACCGAACCTTGCGGTACATATAAAATTTGATTAAGATGATTTAACATAAATATTTGATATATATGAAAAAGGTAAAACTCCGATGTGCATATTATTTGTTTATTGAACTTTTCATTTTGTTTGTTTGAACTGAACAATTAAATAATCAATCATAATTTCGATTTAATCAGATTGATGCTGAAAGATTATCGGTCATTAATCAAGCAACATCATAGGGATTTTATACATTGTTAATGATGTAATCAACAAAATTATATTTCTCAAAATCTACTTTTTATCATTTTTACGAATAATGACACACACCTACAAAAAAATATACTAAATATTTTTATCTCTGCCTACATAGAATCGATAAGGGTTGAATGGAAAAAATCAAGAGGTAGATTAAGACTATCGGAATCAAAGTAAATGCACTTGATTGTGTTGTTAAAAATAAATAACGGAAGGAAATGAAACTTGATAAAGTTTGATATTAAAATGTTGTTGGGTATATTTAAAAAATTGAATTCTGTTAATGCACCGCGATATACAGGTTGTTAAAAGTTTTAAATTAAATTTCAAAATGCCGATAATCAAAGACGTTTTTAAATATTTGTTTTGATCACATACACAAACTATTAAAAATTTGCATACTAAAATGTAGAAATATTGTATCGTTACTAACAAAACATTTTTTAATGCTTCTTTTATACATAGATATAATCTAGGACGCCATTATTTTAAATTTTTGAATATCTTCTAGTTTATTGTATTACTAAATATGTGCCTAATTTACAGGGAATACCAATAATGCCTCAAATAAAAAATATAGTTTTGTTTCTTTTGTTATTATGCTCTTCACACGGTGGTGTGAAAATCAGGAAAATCAAGCTCTATTAGGAGACGAAGCTTATTGATTTTGAAAAAATCTTATTAAAAATAACAGAGGGTTGAAATATAAAAAAAAAACAAAATTCAAAAACGAAAAATTATATCAACTTGATATTTTTAGAAAAAATTAAGCTTCATAAGGAGAATAAGCCATTTGATTTTTAAAAAATTTAAATAAAAATAGGAGGGGCTTAAGGGGGATTGAAATTAAAAAAAAATCATAAATCAAAAACAAAAAGCGACATCAAATTGAACAGGAAAAATCAAGCTTTATAAGGAGATGAAGCCTATTAATTGTGACGAAGTCACTAAATTTTATTTTTAATTCATTTTAAAAAATGTATATTTTAATTAATTCCCGCCTGAGGACATGTCGAAGATCCCTTGTATTTGTGTTTCCCAGAAATTCCCGTTTTTAAACAATTGCGAGTATCCTCGTAGGTTAAAATATTTCCGAAATCCGAATGGGCATTTTTAGATTCAATTTCGTATCAATTATCTACTTTTATTTATCAAGGTACTAGTAGAACTTTTTTATTTTTAAATTGTAAACAGTCGGCTGTAGTAGTGGTATCTCCCGCTCCGAATTGCCGGGCTTCGAGCTTGTCTGTTGAAAAGGCATAAATAAGATGTCAAGTAAAAATTTGCTCTTTGACTCCTGACCACCGTCGTCTTTTCTTCTCATCAGTATTTGCCATATAAGTTTGTTAGTTTCCCGAGTTAAAAAAAAATCAATATAATAAATCGGTTTAAAAACAAATTCTTAAATGAATATAGATTATGATTACATATTATTACTATACACAAATTTTGATTCTTAAGTAAAAGGTCTTATCCATTTCTTCAAGAGCTAAAATCCGACGACGTAGCGAAATTTTGCTACTTCTGGCAATATTGAACGATATCCTACTTATAGGGACCTTCTACAAATTTCCTTCAGAGGGCGGCGTATCACTTAGCTTTAATGACGAATACTTAAATTAAATTAATTTCTAGGAAGAATTTAATTTTATTCATTGATAAATTTATTTTCCGTATAAAGGGGAGAGTATAATTGTTTTCCTGTTGTTTTCAGTTGTAATATTTAATTTTATTTATATTCCGTATACAGGGGGAGCCCTAATTATTTTTCTGTAACTTACAATTGTTGTATATAATTATGATCACTAAGAATTTATTTCCGGTATACAAGTGTGCCGATACCGTGCACTACCTTTTATATATTTTTTTTGTAAATATATTTTGTTATTTATTCCTGTGTTTCTCTTATTGCTGGCTCTTGACCGTTTTATTTCAGTGTACGAGGTGTAAAGGAGATAAGTGTTTTTAATTCTAGTTTAGTGGCTACCTCATTAGCAGTAACCGCCTGGAAATATTTTTAACTACACTGAGTTTATCTTGAGTACACTCTGGTGTATTACAGTGAGGCAGAGCAAACTGTGTTACCAAAACTGGCGCCCGAGTAACCCCTATTCTGAAATCACCATCTTAACGCCATACTTCCTGATTCACTGTAGGTGAATCAGAAACCTGTCACATGATTCTGAAAAATCTGATTGAGAAATGGGGGATAAGAGAAGGGGGAGGTCTGTTTAAGTGTGAAGGGTATGGGGAGGTCTGTTTAACTGTGAAGGGTATAATATAGATTGCCAAACATTACATTTTCATTCTAGTTACTTAAATAACTTTTCTTTTCACAAATATAACAGTCGCCCATGCTTAAGTAAATACTAAAAAAATCAATAAAGTATTTGTACCCAGACTTCCCTCGATGTAGAAATTGTAAAAACAGGGAACACCTAAGTACTTAAATTTTAATAATTTAAAATTAAAACTACCAAACCAAAAACCCTTTTTCACATTTCTCTCTCCATTGATCTTCCTCTTGATCCCACCCAAAATTTCACTTCGCGTCCACTCGGTATTCTTCGTTAAGTTCACCGTTATTGAATAATAATGATTGGCTGTTTTTAAAATGGTCCAGTTACACAAACCAAAAGGACGATTTTTATTATTTTTATTGAAGGGGGACCTTTTTTGATAAAATGCGATTCCTTTCAACGCCAGTTTGAATTTTAAAAAACTTATTTGGGAACTGTTATCTTTGGGTTCTATGATTCTCAGATACCAATTCTAGTCGAAATCTGCGGACTTTTATAAATATTTTTTTTTTTTTAATCTCACTCTATATATAATTGATCGGAAGTATAACTGGGTTTGAGCCAGAAAGGAAGTTTTTCTATGAAGCCGTTTTTGAACTATCGTGCCAACAGACAGACAGATAGATAGATAGACAGACAGGCAGACAGGCAGACAGGCAGACAGGCAAACAGGCAAACAGGCAGGCAGGCAGGCAGGCAGGCAGGCACGCAGGCAGGCAGGCAGGCAGGCAGGCAGGCAGGCAGGCAGACAGACAGACAGACAGACAGACAGACAGACAGACAGACAGACAGACAGACAGACAAACAAACAAACAAACAAACAAACAAACAAACAAACAAACAAACAAACAAACAAACAAACAAACAAACAAACAAACAAACAAACAAACAAACAAACAAACAAACAAACAAACAAACAAACAAACAAACAAACAAACAAACAAACAAACAAACAAACAAACAAACAAACAAACAAACAAACAAACAAACAAACAAACAAACAAACAAACAAACAAACAAACAAACAAACAAATAAACAAACAAACAAATAGACAAACAAACAAATAAACAGACAGAGACATAGACAGGAGACAGATACAGAGAGACGGAACGGGGAAATATGTTTTTCGGTATCTAGGGACCCTAAAACGTGAAAATATGAAATAATCTCGGTGACTTTTTCACGATTACAATATTTCCCTTTTATGTTTCTTTTATGTTTCTTCCTTTTTAAACATACCATTTTAGGAAGGTATTTTAATTTAAATTGACATCATAAGTACATTTTTTTAATATTTTGTAAAAAATGCAGTCTGTATAAATATGAATTATTAATTTAAGTGAAATTAAAAAAAAATATATCAGGTATCATAATCATATTTGGTACATTTTAGGTCTATCATATTCCGAGGTCATAGGCCTGTATCAATTCGTATGTAAATGTTAACCTATTATTTTAATTATTGTTTCTCTTATGTATTCATTAATTTATCAATATTTATTCATTTATGAAATAACTATTGAGTTATTTGCGAATATAGACTGGGTTTTCCAGAATGAGGACGCAACAACTTAAAATATTTATAAAATACCAAATTATTTAACAACTTAATTTTTCTTATTGAAGAAAAATATATTTTCCTATATTATCATCCTTTTCCGCAATAGATTTACTATGTTTGTTCACAGGGTTTTTATAAAAAGTCTTTGGAAAAAACATTAGTCCAAAATAATCCAACGTTAATTTTTATTTTTTTCAGTATTTGTATACATAAAATGTCTACACCAATGGAACAAAATGAGCCTGATTTAAGCATACAATTTGGACTATGAAACTTATTTATTTAAATAGGCTTATTTTGATCTAAAGAATATTGGTGCTGGAATATCAATAATTTTTTTCAATACAAAATAACTAAATTCTTACTCACCCCGTGCGGTTCTCTTCTTAAAGAAGTAGTTAAATTCTCTGAAGAGTAAATAGGGATGTCCATATCGCTGACATTAGATGAAATACTTCCTTCTCTATCGCTACCACCTGGAACCGTTAGAAGTGACATCGCTTGCTGTTCAGCTAACGTTGGACTCTTGAGATAGTGACTAGGTCTGATGAAACCGACACCATCATCTTCATCATGATCCATATTTAGGGACGATACAGACACGGAAAACCGGACTTTTTTTACGGGTTCCAACTTTGTTCGATTTTATATAATTTGAGGTATCAATGCTAAAAACAAAAAAAATACACTATTAGACATTTTAAAATGATTTTTGAAGTGATTGACAAAGTAATAAATAACTCTTACAGTTTGACATATATTTATTCATTTCTTATCAATGGGGAAACTATTCTTTAATATCTAATAATTTTATTTTGACATACATTCAATTGTACCTACAATTTTCAAAAATTCTACACATTGACTGTCGAGATTCCTATTTTGCAGTATGATGTGCTAATTTGGGCCAAGCGCCGTTTCAGGTTCGTTCTCAAATCTTCAAATACCTCTATACAGCATCGGTATAGGAGCAATGCATTAATGCATACTAAGCCAATAACTTCGTCTACGTAAGTTGTTTTGAATGTACGTTAAACGAAAGGAGTCTATCAAAGAGTAAGAACATCAAAACTTGAAGAAGGAATTACATGAAATTGAGAAGAACCCCGAAACTAGTACTAAAAAAATCGCAGTAACATTTAATGTTTCACATGTACTTGTTTGGAAAATTTTTATAGAAAAATTTATTATATCCATATCATCTAGGCATTACTTCCTAGAGATTGTCCGTTGCGAATTAACCTGCTGAAAAATGCGTTATTTGACATGTACATTCTTTTCACCGATGAAGCTAATTTTTCTCGAAACTCAATAATACATTTCCATAATAATCATTCATGGACGGATGAAAACTCTTATGCAATTGTTGAATCAAGTCATTAAGAATAGTTTTCAATAAATTATTGGGAATTATTGATGATTATTTAATAGGCCTATTTTTATCCCAAGAAAACTTGATGGACAATCATATTTACACTTTCTTGAAGATTTGCTGTCAATGCTTGAATACCTTTCTGATTTATTAAGAAACCTGTGTTACTAATGTACGATGGTGCGCCTTCACAGTTTAGCTTATGAGTGCGTGAATTTTTAAATCACACCTATCGTGATCGGTGAATAAGTCGCGGATAATTGCAGTCATGGTCGCATAGATCTCCCAACCTTAATAGTTTAGATTACTTTTTCTGGAAGCATCTTAAAAGCGTAGTGTACTAGTATACGCGTGCAGATTTAAACAAAAGAAGAGTTACGAAATCGTATAATAGTATGCTGGAAAACCATAAGAAACACCCCAGGAATCTTTAAAAATGTGCGTCAGTCTATGCGAAAAATAGATGCTTACATACGTGTGGATGGAAGACGCTTTCAATAATTACTGTATATAATTTGGGTTTTGAACTTATCGTTTTACTAAAAGAAACGCGATTTTTAAAATAGAATTTAAAAAAATCATAGACGTACCGTTTTTTTTTTCTATCCAAACATTGAATATCATGCTTACACGGACGTCTCTGATGGAAGTAGAAAATTAATTTTTGCCCCAAAAAAGTCTTTCCATGTATGGTGGGTGCCTACCAAACGTCAACAAAATATCAAATCAGTTTCGATGAACTTAAGAAAAAATTTGTTTGGTTTTTGCTGCTGATTCGTTATTTGCCAACTTTAGAAATAAAGACGAGATAGTTTCAGCTATAAAATCTATGCAACTTTCTGCTATTACAGTGATGAGACGTGTAGAAGTAATGAGCAATGATATTTTTTTACAGTTAAGAACTGACTTAGATAACTGTGTTTATTTTTCACTTCAACTGGATGAATCAACAGATGTCGTTGACACTGCCCAGAGGGCCGTGTTCGTCAGGATGGTTTTTAGTGATTTTACGATTAAAGAAGATCTTTTGAAGTTTATTCCACTGAAAGGACAAACTACTGGACAGGAGTTGTTTTCTCATTTAGAAAATATTATTTCTTCCGAGAAAATTCCAATATCGAAAATGGTAGGCTTGACAACCGATGGCGCTCCAGCTATGGTGGGTTGTGATAAGGGTCTGGTGTCGTTATGTCGTAAAGATGAAACTTTTCTGCAATTTCTCTGTTACCACTGCATTATCCATCAGCAAGCATTATGTAGAAATTTCCTGAAACTAAACAACGTTATGAAACTGGTGGTAAAAATTGTGAACAAGATTAGAGCTCAAGCGTTACAAAGATTATTCAAAACCTTGGCCGATGAAGTTGACTGTCAATACGGGGACCTACTCCTTCACTCTGAAGTCCGATGGTTAAGTAGAGGACGGGTGCTGAAACGTTTTAATGATGTCCTATCTTGCATAGTTCAATTTTTCAAACAACGCGATGAACCGACTCCGGAACTAGAAAATTCAATCTGACTTAGAGATTTTGGTTTTCTCGTGGACATTACAGATAAATTAAACGAACTTAATTTGCAGCTTCAGGGGAGAGACAAAGAACTAGCGGAAATGATTTCTGATATAAAAGCATTTATCAAAAAGCTGGAGTTTTGGGAACAAAACCTAATTAACAGCGATGCCAAGCATTTTCCTGTTCTTTCAGAAAAAATATCTCAAAATCCATTAGAACCCTATGACAGCAAATATCATGTAGAAATAGTTTCTACCCTGAAGAATAACTTCAAAAATCGTTTTAAGGATTTCAACGAAATGGCTTTAGTAGCGCAGTTTGTTGTTTCACCCTTTATGGAAATTGATATCCAACAGTTTGCAACTTGTGTTATGCAGAACTTTGGCGAAGACATCGCTACAACAGAAATGGAAGTAATTGAGTTTCAAAATGATTTAGCCTTAAAATCGTTAGTCTCAAGTACCAAATGTATCTGGCCTATTGTAAGTAAAGACAAATATACAGTTCTATGCCGTGTTGCCTTGAAAGTGAAAGCATTATTCAGTTCAACCTATTTGTGTGAATCTTCTTTTTCCAATATAAAGTTTATTAAGAACAAATATCGCAATCGACTTACAGATGAACATTTGGATAATTGTATTCGAATGGCTGCATCAAATTATACTGCAAGCATTAAAAAAAATATCGATGAGTCTGATATCAGCCTTCTCATTGAACGTGCTTTTTTATTTTTCAATGTTTATGTTCATGATAGTGCGTTACTTTTTTGTTGTTATTATTAACTATTTTTAAATCTTACGTGACATGCCGTTGTGGCTGGATAAAAGTTTGTGTTTATTTTTCAAACACCTTCGTTTAGTAGGTAGGAATGTAGTTATGAACAAGTACGTACTTGTAATATTAGTTATTTTGTTATTAGTTTATTATTAGTACCTATGTATTATGTATTACCAGTTAAATAGTAAAATAAATACATATAATGATAAATTAACTGTGGATTATTTCATTTACGTTGCGTTACGTGGCTTCCGTGTGGGTAGCTCGCTGTTTATTCCAAAATTAACAAAGTAGCTCAACACATTGAGAGGTTGGCGACCACTGCCCTAGACTGAGTCACGAATCACCACTGCTCCTCAGAAAGTCGTATATCTTGATTTGAGTACAACTAATTCATGTAGGTTTTTTTTTCTAAACAAACAATATTTAATAGAAAACGGTTAAAAAAAATTGTTTACTCAATCACCAGTAACTTTGGCAAATTGTTCACTTAATATTTTACATTGAACTTTTATATTTACATGATAAAATAGTAATCTGGCAAATGATCAAAAATGATTAGTCGCTTAGGTAGGTACAATGTGACGAAAAAAGTATTTGACATTTTTTCTTATGCAACAAAAAATATTTTAGAAAAACATTTGCTTTAACGTCAGTTATATTGCCAATTTAAAAAAAAAACAAATACATCGAAATTATTCAAAAAAGTTTTATAAAAATAATACTACTGAAAATGTATATCAGGAAACTCATATATTTGAAAAAGAGGGAAAATAATTGTAACTTAAATATGACCAAGGCGTAACATAAAATAAATAAAACGCTAAGCTATATGTCGTAAAATAGAAGCGACCGTTCGGAAAACAACTACTCCTTTGGCTAATATCTCAACAGGTATTTAATTATGTTCAAAAGAAAGACAGCAGAGATAGAAATTAAAGGTAGAGTTAATTTCTATCTCTGCTGCCTTTCCTTTGCATATAATTCAATACCTGTTGAGGTATTAGCCAAATGAGTATGGTCACTCCTATTTTGTGACATATGACTTTGAGTTTTATGTGTTTTATTTCACATATTTGATTTGAAGACAGTTATTCTATCAAGCAATACTCTCCCAGTAATTTCAAAATCCAAATGAACTACAAACACAGCTACATCAATATGAAACAAGAATTTCTATGACAATAGGTTTTTGGGTCAAAAATTCTTCAAAAGTATTCCAAGAGAGGCCATAGAAATACAAGATTATATAAAAATATATAAAAATCTGTAAAAAAATTTATAACGAAAACACCGCCTAACTTTTTTCGTAATATTTTTGAATAGAATATAACAATTTCTAAAAAGTGTTAGACTGTTTGTTGTATGGAATAAGTAAATCCAAGTAGATTGTTGTAATGTTAAAGTACATGGTAAATCTATCAAATGTTTTTCTTCTTCTAATTTTGACATATAAAGTGATATTTTTTGTAATCGCAGCAAGTGTCAAAATGATCTTATTATGTCACCAATTGCAAAAAGAGCAAATACAAAACGTACCTTTTTTGTTTTAAAATCAATAATATACATTATATTATTGAAAGTTTATATCAAAGAAGAGCAGGTTGACTTAAAACATTATAAAATAGAATTTGTTTAAACTTACAACGTAGTAATAATGCTGTTTTGGTTCTTATTTTCCATTCTAAATCAACACCAGAATAATTAAAACACAATACTTGACCAAATAACCCACTTTTTTGAAAACCAAATAACTTAAATAGGCAATATAAATACACTACAAGTCGTTGATCATAAATATGATGTTCTATTTGACAATCAAATGATGCATATGCAACTAACAATACAAGAAAGTAATATTGGTTGTCTGCATATCAGTCATGTTTTACCAAAACGCAATGTTATAAATAATCTAGTCAAAA